GAATGAAGTTGGGGTAAGCTACCTACACCCGTTGGGAGGCTGAATTGAAAGCACTCTGCACCGCATAATGCTTTTCATTGCCCTTGGTACCGCCACTAGACAACCAAAGCTCAGATGCAACCTTGGGACGTGAGGAAAACACAAATAATTGGTAGCGGCTTCGGGTTCACTAATCTATTAGAGCATGTACAACCGGACTTGTTAAATCCGGCACCCTGTACGCCGGCGGACGCGTCCGGAAGTGTTCGCGGATAGTGACCGGGTACTCGCTAATTCTACGCCGGAGAAGGCCGGATTTCACCACTTGCTCGCCGGCCCTTTGCCATTCTGGTCGTTGGCGCTGCTGTATGCATCCGCGGCAGGAAGTTGGTCGATGTCGGAGTCGGACCCATCGTAGGAGGAGGAATCGGAGATGACGATGTAGCCCTTCAAGCACCGGACGATGCGGTCCTGCTTGAGCTTGAGCTTGGCCACCCTCGCCACTGCCTCCACCGCCTCCCACTTGGACTGCTCAATACCGAGACGAAACTGCTTCACGTTGATGCTTCAGAGCCGTCGGGCATCCGTCTCCACTGTGGTAAGTGACCGACGGTACACCCACTGGAGGAGATGCTCCTCCTCTTCAGGCACCGGCATCGGGCGAAATGCGCACCCGCGTTTGACACAACTGTCATCTCCCGTGCCCTCTTCCTCTCTGGACGGCCGGCGCGTGCCTACGACTCCGGAATCCGCATCCGCGGCGCTGGCGAAGCAGCACTAGAACCTACCGTTGCCTGCGCGGAGCAGCGGCCAGAGGCAGAGGAGGCCGACGGGCGGGCGGTGCCCATTGGGTTGCCCTGGCATATCCGCGTCTAGGACGGGAAGGGCCGGCGCCGGCGTCGGTGCTGCGGCAGCGGGCGACATGTGATGTCGCACCAAACCCGGAGATTCCGCTTGTATCGGTCCGCGAGCGCTCCAACGTGATACGGAGCGCCAGCTCATCCTCGTCTCTGGAGCTATCGTCGAAGTGACTGCCGGTGCTGGATATGGTCGCCGACGCTTGGGATTGAACGGATTGGGAAAGGGGAGTGTCGGGGAGTAGAGCGAATCAGAGTGAAGTGAGCCAAGCGTTTGCTCTGGAGGATGATTTTGTGGGGTCGGGGTGGGCCAGTGGTGGGCCGGGCGGACACACCGGGACCGTCTCATATCCGTCCGGTCAATATATAAGGGGTGGCAGTTAGCCCGGATGATTGTCCATTGTTTAAGAGATCCGGATCATACGGCCTGTCCGATCGTGTGAGACGTCCAACTGTAAAATCCTTTTACTAAAGGAGTGCAGTCAGACACGGGATGTGGGTCAACTTTCCATGGATGATAATTGGGTGCAATAGTGCTTCATTTCCTTTTTGTGATGGCTGACGACGGAATGAGTGGCTACCTACAATCTTTATAGCTGAGATAGTGGGATAGTACGGAGTATAGATGGACATGCCAGCTACTGGAATTTGTGTGGACACGGGCCGTCTAGGTGTTGGTATTTCAAGATTTGTTCATGGAAACTTCAAGATAGTTGCTGGAATTTGTGTGCATACTATTAAAGGGTCTCTTTCGCCGAAAGGAATTTCATCGAATTTTGAAGGATTTCATGCTTTGCTTTTTTTATAGAGTTTATTTCGTTTGTAGAATTGAAAACAGTAGGAGTTCCCCGCAAAAAAAAAAACTGTAGGAGTTATTCTTATGAGGTACTAAAAGACATACATTGTGTATTACATAACCTATATAAAAAAGAAATATGCAAAAATTCAGTGTAAATTTAAAATATGCCGACAAAGTGAAAAGACATACACAGTGTATTACATAACCTATATATAAAAAAGAAATATGCAAAAATTAAAAACCCGAAGAATACCCAAGATAAAAGAAAGACAAAAGAAATCCAAAAATAAAAACATATACCAAAAAAAGCGAAACAGTCAACAAAGGTCCGGACATGTCCATAGTTTACAGAGTATAAATGAGCTTAAGCCAGTAATGTAATCCAACTCATCGATTGGCATAGTGGTTTGCGCACGCTATTCGATTTAGGCAGGACCCAGGTTCGAATCTTGGTGTGCCACGGATTTTTTGTTTGCGGGAAGAAAAATCGAACGTGTCTAAAGTTATTTTATAAAACGATATAAGTATGCATTATGACACGCTCTAATGAGTGGCGTGGTGGTATGCGCGCCCGGTATTGCATAGTTCAGGGTGCAATCGATCGGGATTTCAACTTGAGAGTGCGTTTGGGCATCGGGTGCAAGGATCATTAGGAGAAATATTATCCCCAAAACCACGATCTTGCTTCCCAGAGAATGAAAGCCAAACAGGACAAAGAAATCTAACCCAAAGTGGATGCGACGGTGAAACGCATGGTAACACAACTATATTAGAAAATTGAACGTCAACTCTTGCATCCTGGCACCCAGCCGATGCCCTTAAATTTGCAGTCCCAGTCAGCGAAGCCCTTGAATTTGGTGATCCAACCACCACCCCTCACTGCTGCAAAGAGTAGCATCCCCTCTATCTCCGGCACCAGCCCTAGATCGCCAACCTCAATCAACGATTTCAAGGTAATAGTCGCCGGCTAAACAAACAATCTTGGTTTGGTTGTTCAACCACCAACATCAACAACACGTACGCTCCTATATATGTTACACAGGTAGTCACTCCATGTCATTTACAGGCCCAAGTGCTTTGCTCGATGGTGATGGTTGCAAGGGTCGAGTCCATCAGTAAAGCCGGGGACAAAGATGTACAAAATGGACTTACCACCACACTTGGTGAGGGTGGAACCGTGGAGGGGACTAAGGTGGTCGACAACTTCCAGGAATTGGTTTTCAGTGAGCCCCCAGAACCTGAAGGTGCAGAGGGAACGAGATTATGGGGGGTGTATCCTCACATGGCCAAAGTGCGACTTAAACTGAGATCTCCAATCGCGCAAAACCGTTGCCGACCAAGATTATATCTTAGAGGCACACAAGTTACATGGAAATCTATGACAGATCTAGTAGACACAAATTTTTAGGGCCATCAACGTTGCTATTTACATTTAGCTAAGATAGACAGAGAAATAACAAATATCCTATCCTAGCTTTTTCTATTGCAAGCACCTACCCTAGCTTGAATACCACAGCCTACGTCCCATAATATAAGAACAGACACTATCTTATATTATGGGATGAGTATAGAGATTTCGCATGCAACTGAATACGTATATTATGGGACGAAGAGAGCAGTATAGAGACTTCACATGTAACTGAATGCGTAGTTGTAATACTCCCTGGGCCATCCATTTAGAGTACTGCTGCTGATAGATGAATATGAATGCATGTCGTCTCGATCGTTCACACATGGACAACTACATATCTACATGCATTATCGGCTGGCCAGAGTAAATGTTAGGTTGCCGCCGCAGTCACTCGCTGGATCCCAGTTTGTATGGTACTCCATGTTGGACAACCAGATTTCGAGGTCATGAATTAATGCATGGCTCGTCTTGATCGTTCACACACTGACACCGTATTTATCATTTTACTGCCTGGTATCAGCACTGCTATACACACGACGCATGTATGGCCGATGCATGCACGATTCAGACGTGGCAGCACCAACAGCTAGCGTGCATGCAGGAGCACTGTTGGGGAAGGAGAATCATGCAGGCGTCGTGCGTTGACTGTCGTGTGTGAAGCAATTCCGGCCCGGTATAGTACCTTTATCAGTCGTCTGACCTATCAGAGCAGAAGACTAAATGGTACGACTGCACGCCGTACGTACGTGTTGAACAACCTGCTCAGATCCAGCTCGATGGGTCCAACATGACTCTTCATCCCTTCCTCGCGTTCACTCTTTGGGGCTATTTGATCTGTAAGATTCAAAAATGTAGGATGCTTATTACTCCCTTTGTAATTTAATATAAGCCATTTTTACACTACGACAGTGCCAAAAAAACGTCTTACTGGATTACATAGAAACTGTTTGGCTGGCCATCGGATGTTATGTTACTACCTCCGTGATGCATCGGCTGGCCAGGGTAAATGTTACTATGTTACTGCGGTCACACAGATGTTATGTTACTCCTCTCGTCTAGGTGCACATGTCATTTTAGATTGTGCACCACAATCAAGACGAAGGAGTAAACGAGAGAACTTGATGACTTTTTGCTAGTTAATAGCATTTCATGCAATGAACTAATCACTGCATATCATGTTTGATAAGCATGCATGACTTACATCTCTTATTGATTGACATGTCACGAAACAAGAAATAAGGTGAGAGTTAATGTATCGCGTCTAAGTGGTTTGGGATTATACACCTAGACAAGGAAGCGGTTTGGGAGTACTACCTCCGTGAGACTAGCCATAATGGGTAGTAACATAAAATAGTAACATGCCCATGTTACTAGTCTATGTTACTACCTTTATAGTGGGTAGTAACATAGATATGATAACATGAAGCACTTCATTTATTAGGCTATAGACACATCTTACTTTGGTATGTGTGATGTTACTCATACTAGTAGTAACTAGCTATGTTACCACTTTTATCTCTTTCTTCATTTATTACATGCCACATCATCTATTTAATCTAGATATGTGTAATATTACTAGTATCTATGTTAGTACTTCCATTTATGTGCAGTCACTCAGATGATGCATGCATGCATGCATGCGAGATGCGACCAGCCGGAGGCCAGCTTGTACAACCAAATTTCGGGGTCATGAGTTAATGCATG